AACTTTGATCTAACTCAAACTGAGAAGAATTTGACGGGAAAGAGGGAGTATATGTTTACCAATTTCAAAAAAAAATCCTGATATATCTACACACAAACATATATATCAAGAACTTTGAGATCATTAGCGAAAAATGTTTCCTTTTAATTTGATAGATAATCTTACCCCTTCCAGAGTGTCAAAATCATTCTTGACATTAAATCTTTTCACCCGCTCTTATTTCTGTGACAACTTTGTGCTTTAATACATGATCACCTAACATAATGATCATCATTTTTGAACCATTACACAAATGAGGGGTGTCCCAAGTCCAAACCTTCATTTAAATATCATTTTCAAGAAATAAGTAACACATTGACAATCTTCATATATTTTTATTTTTAGTGGAGAAAAAGAGGGAAAAAATGTGTTCAATTTTTTTTTATAGTATTGAAAAAATAAGCCAAACAAATATACACAAGCCCAATATATTACGGAGTATTTCTTTGGTTTAGGACACAACCCAAAGTAGGAGACCAATTTCATCCCCTAATCCCTCGGTATAACCACATTCGGCAATGTCGGCAGTCATCTTCATATGATATTCACCACACGTAGTCCCAGACATCATGCGATCGAAATCGGTTATCATATTCCTGACCAATTTAAATATTTAAGAATATGCAACCCCAACAGAGGAGTGTTTTCGTTAATAATTTTAATTTTTAGTTTAAATCCATGTATCTATGCTTATATAAGGTGTGAGATTTGTAGTCCGTTGGGTTTGAATTGTGGAACGAAGGGTTGGTTCATGAGAATTGATGCATCTTCTGCTGCTACTACTCATTTAGAAAAAAAAAACTAGAGAAGGAGCTCATAGATTAAAGTGTTAGGGTTCCCCCCTACCTTCTATTGATCAACTTCTCAGTCCTGGGTGTAAGGATTTCATTTTTATGTATTTTACGACTCTGTTTTTCCTCAATATTGGTCGCTGAGATGGGTACTTGAAATTTCGAATGTCTATCGATATTATGTTACTTGAATTCCATGTATCTTGGTTCATTTCACCAAATAGACTGTTTGTTAATTGTCTGCTTATTTTTTGTTAATATATTTACGGTGGCTTAACTATTTGGAAATTGAAATATGAATATTAGAGAATACCGGGCTAGTTAATTTGATTTTTTTATGATGTGCTCTTGCTTTGTTCACATGCAGCTATAGTGTGGGCAACCATCAGCCTGGGCTAGTATCTTTTGGTAAGTTGTTTTTATATTTTTTTGTTTGATTGTTTTCCGGTAGTCTGTTGATGAAGTCCTTTATGGTTAATGGTATTATCCATTTCTACCAAAATTATTCGATCTTTACTTTTAGAATCAACAAAGAGCCAGCCAATGAATTTGTTAATCATTTCATAAATGATACTGCTGTTCTTAATACTCTTATTAAAAAAGCACAAAACTGCAATAAAATTATAGGAATTATAGGAATTACTGATATTCAGATCACATAAGCAAATTAGTTTAGCACTTTGAACCAAGATATATATAATATTTTTTCTGGTGTGTAAATTACGTTGGATAGGTGTTGTATGGTCAAGTACTTAGTTTGATTAGCATTTGGAGTGATTTAATCACAAAGACGTCTTAAATATGTGCTGGTAAATGTGGATAGACTGTAATGCGATATATACAAATGCGAAAGTAAAAATCTCATTGATATTTAGAGTGATTCATACAATCATATGTGTTGCTCTATGCATAGAGAAGTTTTCTGAATGCCGTCGATTATAACAGTTTTCATTTCTTGTGTGTTGATGAAAAAGTTTAATGAGAAGAGTGTGCTTTTAATTAAAAACGATTCCAAAAATCTCATCATATTTAACCATTAGAGTCCGATCAGAGATAATTCATACTACGTACTACACCTTTCTTTTCTCTGGAATTATTCTTAATTATTCTTTATTCATACATGTACATATAACATATATTGGTATTATCTAGAAATATCCTTTATCGATATATATGTCAATGAAAAACTTTTTATATGGAATAACTGACAATTAGATAATATATAGAATTTAGATCAACTAAAATTGCTTAATCAAACAAAGGTGTCATCAATCAGATCTCTTTATTATGACTACTCTTGATATTATGATGATAACACAAAGGCACAAAAGCAACCGAATGTTTACATTGAACCATGTCATTTATATTCATTCTCCTTGTAGTGTTCTCTCGTATACACATCTATAACACCTAACATCAGTACAGTTTTTTCAATTCTAGACATAGCAAACTACTGAGAACTTTTTAAAAGACAAAATAGTGACTACGATTTAAAATATAATAACCAAATGCTTCTTGCATAACTAACACTAATAAAAGAAAAAAGTAATCAAAAGTTCCTGTGAAATATAGAAATATATAATGGCATGTCACTTATGAGTAATATTCTTTGAAGTTTTCTCATGTATATTATGTCAGTTCTTTTTTATCATGGAACAGACATGTTAATTAAGGCTTTAATTTCACCTTGTCACTTCTGGAGTAGTATCTACGAAGCAAGCTTAGTCTCAGCTCGACAGCTCCCAATGTGTACCCTGAGGACAAACGTCCTTCACCGGCTTCACCAAACTACTGTATTTTGCCAAGGCTTATTCATCTATCCCGTCATAGAGAAACAGCCGATCACAAGCTTTGCTGCAGTAGAAGCGTAGAAATGTTGAAGAATTGGCCCCTTGGAGTAGTATTTATAGGAGATATTCTTTTGGCAGGATATGAAACGCTGGCTGCAACATTAAAAATGGTGACATAATATTAAACACATGATGTGTTGAACAACGTGAGGCACATTTATTTGTTTTTTGAGAAGAGAAACAGCCTGATGGGTTGTAATTACGGAGTGTTAGTCTGCCACTTGCTGCCCCAACCCCTACTTCATTTTTATGTTACATTTTTTCCCGCCCAAACTCCCCCTAATCCTCTTGGAGACTATTCCGTTTTACTATATTATATAGATTTGTGTTTCACAACAATTTCGACACATTTCTCTCTCATTTGCAACTCTCCATCACATAAGACCAGGGCCGACCGTAGTAGAGACCCAGGGGGCTACCGCCCCCAACAATTTTTTTTAGTGTACATGAAAAATAATTTTCGCTCTCCCAGAAAATATTTCGTTTGATCCGTAGTGTATCGTATTCGGTTACAGAATTTGCCATAAATCTATCCTAAAATATACGGAATACTTCATATATATCCCCGTACCTAGGGGTGGGGAAAAATGCCGAAGATTCGGTATACCGGACTTACCATATCGAAAAATATCGAATTTACCGAAATGTTTGGTATACCGACACTTTTGGTATGGTATGATACCGTACCGAACTACTTCGGTATGGTATCGGTATATATTTTGGAAATAAACGGTATACTGGTATACCGTCATACCGTAATTCCAAGTCAATAATTTGCTTAAAATTATAAAAATAACTAGAAACACAACACTAATTCAAGGATATATGACTTTATATCCATGTTTATTGAATTATTTATATTTTTTGTTGGAGATCGGTGGTATTTTATATATATTTATGTTGTTTAAATTATTTTAGCAGAATGTGTTGTTATCTTCATATATCATGTGTTGAAATATCTACACATATTTATAATATTTTTTGTCAAAAGTTGAATAGAACACAAATAGGTTATCTCATTTATATTTTATAATTAATTTCATTAATGATTTTAGTATATCACTATTAACACTGATTTTATTTATTTCATTTGACATATAATAATTCGTTATATTAAATTAGGGGTGGGATCGGGTCGGGTTGGGTCGGGTTTTTGCTAGGACCGTAAAAAACCCGAAAAGCTTCGGGTTCTACATTTTTGGGCCCGATCGGCGGACCAATACTTTCGGGTTGGTCCGGGTTTTAAGAGCCTCGGGTTCGGGTTGGGTTCGGGTCGGGTCGTATTGAACCCGCAAAAAAAAATCGAACTGATATATCTAAACACAATTAAAATAAAATTACAACAAAAATTGCAAACATCTAAACTTTTAATCAAAAAAATATACGTAGTATATTAAAATCAAAGCAGTATATTTTGAATATAAAAATCACATGATAGAAAATGTTGTAGAAGAACAATTGGTTCGAAAGTAAAGTAACATTCCCTCCGTCCCAAATTGATTTACAAAGTCAAGATTTTTTGGTCAATCAATGTTAAAGTTAAATACTCCATATTGATACATCGTTCAATTTTTTAAATTAAAATTTACATATTAAAAAATTACATTAAAATATATTCAAAGTTGCAAACTTCAAGTTAAATATAATTAAAAATTGACATCCAAATTAAGTGAATAAAATAAAATTGTTTGTCTAAAAAAGTCATTTTTGCAAAACAATTTGGGACGGATGTAGTATAAAATAGTCCGTACGTATCATACACACACACACACATATATATATAAATCGGTATGATGTATTAATAGGCCATACATATTTTATATAAAATATATATATATATATATATATATATATATATATATATATATATATATATATATATATATATATTAGTTTCTTAATTAAATCGGGTTTTTTCGGTCCGGGTCGGGCTTAAAATTTTAGAACCCGAATTAGGACCCGAGTTTTCGGGTTCGGGTCGGGTATTTCAACCCGGACCGGTCATTTTTAAAATAAAACCCGGACCAATATCATATATCGGGTTGGGTCGGTTCGGTTATCGGGTTTTGGGTCGGTTTTTCCCACCCCTACATTAAATCATGGTAATTTACCGATACCGTACCTTACCGTACTGAAATTTCGGTATACCGAAACAAGGTATACCGAAATTTCGGTATGGTAACGGTATGTATTTTTGCATACCGAAAGTTTACGGTATGGTAAAGGTATGCGATAAAATATTCGGTATACCGTACCGAACCACCCCTACCCGTACCCCATATCCCCTCCCTCGTCAAAACTAACTGATAAAAGCCCACACCACTGAGCTCTGCTGCGCTGTCTGCTTCCTCAATCTCTCTGACACACCGAGAAAGCAGAACAAGACGGCAATTCCCGCACGCTCAACTCTAAACCTATCACTTCCAGAAATGTCGTTTCTCCTCCCCATCCCCCATTCAACCACCTTCTAGCCGTACACAAGGACCAGCAATCGATCAACGATGAGGTGTAAGAAGCACTTTTCCGATCTCAGCAGCGCCGACGGCGTTTGCGCCTCCTGTCTCCGTGAAAAACTATTCACCCTCGTCGCCGCCCAGTCAAGCCATATTCAGCAACAAAAGTTTCAGGCCCCGGAGGATCGCCGGACATCCGACGTCGTGATTCAGCCGCCTCTGTTTTTTCCGCGATCCGTCTCGCCGTATATTTCTCGCCGGAACTCGGATACCTCCCCCTGGCACCTCCATCCCAGGGACGAACAGAGATTCTACTTTACTCCTCAAATAGGTCCAAACGGGAAGATAGATGAGGGAGATGAGTCCAGTAAGAAGAAGAGGAATTACGGATTTTCTATGTTATATAATCTGTTTAATCTTAGATCTAAGCCGGATTCGGATCCTGTAGCATCCGGTCACGGCGAGCCTTGCGCCGTGAACTCCTCCTCGGCTTCCTGGATTTCCTCAATTTTCAGCGGTCTCCGGAAGAAGCAACACCGTACTTTTTCGTTAGACGAATCCGCGGCAGGCGGAAAGCGGAGATCCTGCCGCAATTTTAACAGAGGAATGTCCCCGGAGAGGTATTCCGATGATTTTGGTAACGAACATTGTCACGGCGGATCGAGCGGCTACTCTTCCGAGTCTCCGCAGCGGTGGAAGCAAACGCCGAGGAGGACGACTGTAGCGCCCACCCCTAGCCGGCGGAGTGGCGGGAGACCGAAAGTAGCTCGGAGCATCTCAGGAATGACGTTTTGCTTGAGTCCGCTAGTCCGGCCTAGCCCTAATCGGCAGTGGAACCAGAAAGGTATGCCGCTGGACATGGTGTTTTCCGGCGATTTAAGAGCTCCCGTGAAGTCTCCGGTGATGTTGTGCAAAAACGGTTCGAAAAAAATTGCGGATTTCGGCAGAGTCAATCGCAACCATAGATTTTGTAACAATTGACATTTGATGATGGAGATTATACAAATCACCATATCCATTGGACCATTGCTATGATTTTGAATATTACCGTTTTAATTTCGGAAACGCGGATTCATCTCCATTCTCCGCTAGATTACCTCTACAGTATTAATTTCCTGTTTCATTTGAAAAATGTAGGCGATTTATGATGTGGTGATGACTTTGATAGTTCAGGAGGATGCCTAAGAGCCCGTTTGGTAGCACCAAAATCGGCTGTTTTGGCTGATTCTGCTGAAATTTATGATATTCTGGCTGGAGTGGCTGTTTTGGCTGATTCTGCTGATTTAAGAAAAAAATATTTTAAAAATATATTTTATTAATAAATTAAAGAAAAAATTATATGTAAAAATAGCTAAAATGGTCCTCTACAATAACTTCAGCCAATACAGCCAGAAAAGTAACTCCAACCTTACTTTTTCGGCTTATTACACAATTCAGCGCGCGAAAGTAAAAGTTACGTGTTTGGTGAAAAAGCTGGCTGATAAGCCTGATAAGCCGAAAACAGAGTTCTCCAAACGGGCTCTAAGAAATTTGTTGCAGTAATGTATAATGGACAAATTTGTTTATAAGTGTCATGTTTATTGAATGTTATCAAATAGTCTGGAATTCAAGTATTATTGGAAACAATGTGCAGAATATGCTCTAAAACTTTCGTGTCTACTTGAAACTTAATTCTAGGATGAATAAATACATTCATCTTATTTTTGTGTGTAAATTGTCAAGTTATTGTGTAAAATAAAGGTTAGTTGTAATAAAAATTCTATTTCTACACGAAACTTGAATATATATCACCTACGTGCAAATTTGTGTGAAGTGTATAAAAAATTTCGTATAGAAACTTTACACAGGTGTATCAATTGTCTGCATCCATCAATTGTCTGTACAAATCTAAAGTGTATACGGAGTAAAAATTTCGGGGGCATCAATTGTTCTCATCCATCAATTGTCTGTACAAATTAAGTTAGCACCCAAAATTGTTGTAGTTGTAATGATTGTTGTAGTTGTGTAGACGTAGTTAAGAAAAAACGAATGAATTTTAGGATATTGCGTGGGCAAAATACATGTGTATATGTGGTATAAAAATTCTTCCATTTTCATGGATTATATGGAAACAATCATATCCACTTCAAAATAATAATGCTACTCATAAATGTTAAGAATAAATTGATTAATTATTGTAGGGGTGGGCACATCCCCATGTTATCTCAAAGCGTGTTGATTAGGGATTATAATATTTTTTTTAGGTATGGAAATGTTCTTTTTGTTTGTTTGTTACTATGCACTATTTATTTTATTAACATCAAGTAATAATGGCATTTGGAAGAAATATACCCTAATTTCACTCTTGCTCTCTATATAGCTGGTCTATATACCTTATAACCCTTTATACTTAATTGTACGTTTATTGAGAATTAACAAGGTTAATATGTATAATTTGTATATGGGTAGCCTCCCTAGTTTCTTAGCTGAAATCCTTCATCTTAGCTTAATTGATCTTATTAAAAGAGTATACAATTCTATATATATTTGTATGTGTAATTTCTTGAAAAGGAGGTCTAACACTAATAGAACAAATTAGATATCCAATTATGATCATACTACATTTGTTATTTGTATCTAAGATATGTGAAATTAAATTGGAGTTCTCACACTACAGCATGATCAAAACATCTCACTATGAAAAATCTAATATCCGGAGCCCTTAATTGGCAGAATTTGAACTTAATTAGATTATATATTTAATTAATATATGCATGGAATGAGAAAACCACTAAGGAAAACGCGCTACTCCAACCTTTGTTGTATTTAATGAATACAAGTAGTTGTTGGTAATCAATCTTAATGGCTTGCCAAGTCATCGTCAAATTCATGCGTTTTATTAGGTAGCATTTAGGGCAAAAGCTGAGTGATGTGTTATACTCTAATACCCCAACTGTACAATTGGTAGGAAGTAGGTACGTAGCTGGTAATGTATGTGTGTTCAAGAGAAGGGAAAGCTCAATTTTTTTCATCAAATTGATACACACACATAATCCATGTGTATAATGTGTGAAACAAAGTATTTCAGCACTTGTGTGAAAGTACTTTCAAAATGAAGGGGCTTCTCATACGCAACATGCATTGGTCTAGCATGTGTGTCCACCTAAATCAATCGGGGTGTAGCTCACCTGATAGGAAGAGGGTGCCCCAAAGGACAGAACTCCACTACAGTGTGATCAAAGCCCAACTAACATCATATTAGACAATTGTCTCATCAGTTCCGGGAGACCTCTAGGATGGAGTGTCGTGGTGTGGGCGCTGATGACGGGCAATTCCTCCTTTTTGGTACATTTTTTGTACAATGAGATCGAAACAAAGTACGTATTGAATCATGTGTGCTGAGTCGCTGAGAATTAGGATTCATATGGTCTTATATCTGCATTTGGTAATATGAGCATATTAAAAGTAACATGTATGCCTTTTTTATCGTACTCATGTATGACTTAGAAACACCAATATAAATAGAAAGACCAATATAAATTGCTCAAAACATTTTTGTTAACCCATCCAACAATCACATTTGAAATACAAAAATTAACATTAGTCTTGATTGGTATTAGGGCCGATTAAACTCCAACAAAAAAGTAGATGTGACAAGCTCCAACAATAATCGTCCAAGTCTAAATACTTTTAATGGAAAAAGCAATCTTTAAAACTATGGAAAAAGGTAATACGTAGTATTGTTTTATTTTGTGGTACTTTCTAACATATTATAGCATCTATTCTCTTAAACACATCATTTTTTATTGAGACGAGTTTCAAACTTTCAAACACATATTAGACTGTCAATAGGATCGGATCGTAATGTACTTAATGAATTGACTTGCTTGATTATCTAATTATTGTGTGCATTAAAGATGCAACTATTTGCAATAACTAATTAAATGATTAGAAAATAAATGCCAGCCAAAGATGAACCAAGAATGCATAAAAATATGTAATTTCCAGATGGGGGCTTATTGCATTAGTTTATATCCGTCCCACCAATTTGTCGGCTCTCACAATGTACTAATTTTATGTTTGGGGGTCCGTCCGAAATTTGGATTTATATATGCTTTGGCAAAGGATTTCTAAAACAGTACAATAACGGCAATAAGGAGTGGAATTAACGTAAGGTTATAGTGTACAATTGTACGAATTAAATTAATTTATGGTGGAAGAATGTTACTGTAAGGAATGTCTTTGTATTATTGTTGCTAGCTACTCCCTCCGTCCCTAATAAAACTTCCAAATAGATTTGGCACACAGTTTAAGATAGTTGGTATTGTGTGGTGGAGAATTGTGCAGAGGAGAGAGAAATGTGTAAGAACGGTTGTGAACCACAAATTTTGGGCAAAAAGGGAAAGTGGAAGTTTTAATTGGGACGGACGAAAAAGGAAAGTTGGAAGTTTATTTAGGGACGGAGGGAGTAGTTTAATTTGGTTCACTGGGAACTTCCTCTCCCTAATAATGTATTCTATGTTTCGACTCATTCCATTATTTAGTACACGTGTATAGATACATGAACTAGCTAGATCCCTAAACTACGGGAAATAAACCCTCTCGTACACCTCTTATTTCATTGGGAAATTTCATGTTGAGTAGAAAGAACCATGTAAGACAGGAGTACTATATATATTTTGCTGTAATTATATACCAAGTTTTACATTTAATCCATTGGACAATATTTCTCGTTTTTTGGATTGTGTGTTTATGTCAATCCTGTCATGTTTAGTTTGAATTTACTATGATTAGAGGTATTGAAGCTCCTAATGTTGATAATTATCTTGAAGCACACGCGTTTTCAGTAAAAAAAAAAAATCCTTGATTTTGGTTAAACTTTTCTATGCATGCATGCATGAGGGGTCCTTTAATTTGATTATTATGAGTAGATGTTTAGTTGTGGCTGATATAAGAGCATTTACCATATGTGAATATAGTCTCTTGCACACTCTTTTACATATCATGGGTATCATTTTTCATATATCTCATGTTTTTTTGTAGTATACATATCTTATTATTTATTTTAACATTTGTTTTTATATCATCCACTGTGTACTTTTTCTCCTCAAATGCGGTATGTGTAAGGTCCATTTGAGAACCGTTTTATAGTTCTAGCTCTACAATTTATTTCCATACACACCCGTGACACCACTTTTTCCATATAAATTAGAAAATCATCCTATCTCTTATATCTCCCACACATTCTTCCAAATCTATTCTGCTTACATTCTATCAATGAAATTGCATAAGGTGAATTTTCTCTATTCATTTCTCACGGCAAGAGTTTTAATCCAATGTATTCCTTCATTCAAGGAATCTGGTCTAACTTACGGGTCGGGTGCAGGCCAACTTTTACCCAATGTTCCAAAAAGTAAATAGAATTGCCGAATTGGTTAGATGATGGCCTTATAGCTCCAAAAATAAAAGGACGAAATGATCTTATGTACGTACAATTGTAGAAACTAGATTTTTCACCCGTGCTTCGCACGGGATGCAATTAGCTTAGTAAATAATAAATAATGTGATAACATAAAGAAATGTTGTGATAAACATAGATCAATGTATATATTATTTCTAACAAAAGTAAATGAAGATTAAAAAAAATATTACAAATTATTATATACTTCCTTGTAAACCACATTTAAAGTCTTCTTGGCCAGTTCTCCATCTTCATCACATATAACAAACTTCAACCCAGGCGTGGACATTACTCTTGAGACCGCGACGTAAAGTTGTCCATGGGTGAAAACCGGACGACATAAGAAAACACCAACCCTCTCCAAAGAATGTCCCTGAAATGTGAATGACAGCTTTAGGTCGAATGGAATCAAGCTAAGCTTCGGAATAAGAAATTTTTGTCCTGCATCTGTTCCAGACATCATTTGAGCCTCGAGAATATGGGTTCCAAGTTTAGTCTCTATAAGGCGAGTGGCATTGCACAATGCAGCGAAATGATCAATATTTCTCATTAACATCACAGGTGCACTCACTTTTCAGATTCAACTCATGGTTTTGCACACCAAAGCATTTAATGGTATTGAGAAATTCTAGAGAGTTGATCTCTTGAAAGAGTACACTGTCTGAATCAGAAGAAGATGCTGAATCTAAGTTTAAGTATGTCGTTACCTCACATGAAGTCAGTCCCAACATGCAACCGTTGATCTTCTCGTGTTGACCAATAGTTGACCCAAGAATTGCCCTAGAATTCAAATAACAAACGTCATTATAGTGCATTTCAAAATCGGGATAGGTGGTCTTAACAATAGCTTCAGTTGGATCATCCGTCATAGGGGCAATAAATTTTTCAGGGATGTCAACCATTGATTCTCCATCAACACCGTCCCCTAAGACCTCATCTCCAATCTTCAAAATCCACCCGACAATGTTTTGAATCTCAAATATGATCAAAGTAAGAATCATTCACAACCACCCAAATTTTATCAAATTTGGTATGAGACAATCTTAGTAGGATGAAGTGAAAAAATGAATAAGGCAATCTTAGGGGGACGGAGAGAGTATAATAGAAGTTTAACTTTTTAATTCATAGGCATTGCCCATTTTCTTCCGGTGAATGAAATTCAGACTTAGTGACATAAAAGACACTCCAACTAATAGTAACAGTGGGTTTTGTTACTTCAACCATGGGCAGATGCAAAAATTCCCTATAGCAGGAAGTATTGGGGGTGGCACCGTGGCAGCCACCATGTACCCTTCTTTGTGTGTACCACTGGTCTTCAACTATTTAGTGAAACAAATCAATCTCCAAACCGTTCTAAAATGTTTTAATTTATGGTACTTCATTTGAAATTTGATTTTGATCCTATTTTACGCTTTTGAATTCAAATCCACACCCTATTTTGAAATCATGAATAGTTAGTTACACAACATTACAAAATGTTAAGGAAGTTTAACAATTGTTGTCCGGTCAATCATTATTTTTTAAATGTTACTACCTCCGTCCCGTTGAAAGGTTTTCATGGCAAAACGACGTGGTTATATTTTGAGAAATAATTTTATCAGGTAAATAATACGTAGTATAATATATTTAATGTTGACAACTGTGATGTTATAAATGTTTTATTTTTAGTATTTAATGATTAATTTGTCATTCAAGATTGTTATTTATTTCCTAAAATGGAAATAAGAATCTTTATATTTAACATCCAAATTAAAATGAAAGTGAGAATCTTTCTATGGAACAGATGAAGTGAGCATAATTTTTGAGAAAAAGTGAGCATAAACTATTTTGGAAAAAAATGCGCCAAACGTTCTCATTTTTTCTTTCTCAAATTTCCCGTATATTTCACACAAAGTTAAATAGTTTTCATAACATTTAGTGTCCGCTTGGAAATACCAAAATCGACTAATTGAGTTGCAATTTATGAAATTCTAAAACGGAAGTGGTTGTGTTGGATGTTTTTGCTAATTCATGGGGGAAAATATTGAAAATACTCCGTATATTTTATTAATTAATAAAATAAAGAAAAAATTACATGTAAAAATAACTAAAATGGTCATTTATAGTAATTTCAGCCAATGCAACCAGAAAAGTAACTTAATCTTACTTTTTTTAGTACACAATTCAATACACAAAATCGAAAGTTACATGTTTGGTGAAAATTTGATTGATAAGCCCGAAAGTACTTATCAAATTAGGTAACTCAATAACTTAAGATATAATTACCATATTTGAGAATTGGGTCATTTGCAGTATAAGAAAGTATATGAGGTTCCATGTTCTGGACAGAACCAAATCATTTGATTATTGTCTAAATAACCGTGCCGTTTTGCTATGGGAACCTTCCAACGGGACGGAGGTAGTATAAGATAAAATATTATAAAGATTATAATTCCAATGAAATGGAAGACCATGATATGTGCGCAAGCAAGCACCTGACTGCTGGCCTTAGCTATTTTGAGTTTTAAGATGGCTTCAAGTTCTTCAGGATTTGAAGTTCTGAAATCTTTGATAATGTGGAAACATGAAAATGTTGTAATAATTGCCTTTTTTTATGCGGATGCCTAACTATGTTTCCTAGGGTATTGGGCTACTGGCAATGGTTTTTATTAGCCTAATTATGGTCACCATGATTTTATTGGAACATAAACTAAGTCGATCCTTGGTGTCTAATTAAAACGATGGTGGATATATACAGTTGCCACATGCCAGCAATCATAGTTTTTCAAAATCAATATTTTGCATCCACTTCAGTGTGAATATGGATCATCTTTGGTCCTTCTAACTGAGGAATCATGTACTCTAATTATGTACTCTTTGCATTCGTGAAAAAGATTTGAGTATCTTTTCAACAAAAAGCTTTACTTGGTGTTTTGAAAACATCATTTGACAAATCGTAATCTAAACTCAACTTCGTCATAGCAGATCAGGAAGAGATCTGGACATCAAGTTGAAGCATTTTTGTGATACTTGTTGCTTCTCAGTTTCATATGCTTTTTAGTAAGCATTGAAGTAAACATATTTCCTCTTGTTAATTGGTTTATCAAAAACTAATAATGATTACATGAAAAAATACACTTATTTGGTGAGGGGAAAGGAAATACCAAAAACAATAGAAATGTATTTAGTTCCCGCTTTGTAAGTCCCCTTCATCATGACATCCAGGAAGAGACCCAAAAATAAGTAAGCCCAGAATAGCAGTCTCCTTCTCTAGTGAGAGTGTCGTAATAAGCACAAAGTTGAAGTTGTTCCTCTTCTTGTCAATCAAAATTTTAAAAAACTTCATTGATGGGCATCTTAAAACTTAATAAAAATCAATCTTTAGATAATAAAGATTTTTTTAATAAACACTACAGATTGGTTCGTAAATGACACAAAATCCAAATGATGGTTAGTGGCAACTCTATGTGACTTCCATATATCAGTTAATGTGGAATGGCTTTCCAAATGATTCTGATCTCCCGAAACAGTCAATTATAGGATATCTAATTCCTAATATTAAATATCTAATAGAACAAAAACTCATTTAGAACTTAAATACCTAATCAATCACCTATTTTTAAAAAAGTAAATGTGATTAGTTTAAGTAAACCAAAAAATGAAATCTTGGAGATGCTTTGGACTAAGGCTTTATATCTGTGCAGGGTGAAACACACAGATATAATGATAGAGAATGGTTTTCCTTTTATGTTTTTGGTTAGACACTTTTTAAGTAGAAACATGAAAAGCAAATGAAATCTTGGGCTATTTAATTTTCTAGACTCTCATCAATCTTCCCTTTCCTTTTCAGCCCTCTTTAGGACCAATCCAATCTTGCTTTGAACTATGAAGAATGCAAAATATGTATCAGTATGCATTTGATTCAGCTTTTATAAATAAAAAATCAGGATGCAAATTTAATAAACATAAATGTTTATTAAGTATTAAAGATAGTCTGGATAAAACACTGGCCAATAGACTATCTGACAGCCATGGCCTTCTACCTTAGCAATAAAGACAATGATTTTTTCAGGATGCAAATTTGGCATAAATACTTGACCTTCTACCTTAGCCTCTTTGTATTACTATGCATTTGATTCAGCTTTTATTTATATATAAAAAATCAATTACAAAGTATAATACTATAAGTGTATGCTTTAGATTCACAGAGATAAAAACCTCAAATCACGATCGAAATACAAATTTGAATAAAAAGTCACTAACAGATTTAAAGGAAAGAAAAAAGAATCTGCAATTAAAGTCACTAAGAGATTCGAAAAAACAAAGCAGGGAGGAGAGAAGATTATTATCCTGGCGTTGACAACTGCAATTAAATACCCCTAAGACGAACATATATCTAACCGGTGGAAAAAAAAGACCAACTAAAGCGAATATCTATTATCTTAACAGCTTATCTACAAATACATGTTAGTAAGTGATTACTATTAGTCTATTATCAAGTTAAGCTACACTGCTACAGAGCAATGTGAAGCAACCCATTTTCCTCTAAGCTAAAGAAAATTATCAAAAATTTAAAAGGTGATGAAATAAATAAAAGTATTGTCTGGATTAAGAAAAAAGAATCAGGAATCAAGAAAACCTAATCTCCAGAAGAACATATTACCAAGACTGCTTGGAGAATGCTAACCACGATCTGTTCAAAGGTAAAACATAGCTCAATCTATTATCTTAACGGTTTATCTACAAAATGAAGTTAGTAAGTGATTACTATTATTAAGTTCAGCTACAGAGCAAAGTGAAGCAACCCTTTTCCCTCTTCTCTAAAGAATCTTAGCAAGAACTTAAAAGGTGATGATGAAATAAATAAAAGTATTTTCTGGATTAGGAAAAAAGAATCAGGAATCAAGAAAACTTCATCTGGAGGAGAACATATTGCCAAGACTGCTTTGTTTAGCATCATTACTAACCAAAATCTGATCAAAGGTAAAAGATAGCTCAATCTATTATGTTAACAGTTTATATACAAAATCCCGTTAGCAAGTGATTACTATTATCAAGTTCAGCAATAGTTATAATTGTAAAATTGGAGAAATCAAAGCTCATCTGTTTAACCTCGATCTTCACGTCCTGCTTCTTCATCCTCGGAACGTCCAGGGCAATCACGTTCTCCTTCGGAGTATCATTCAGTCCACACGTGCGAGTGCCAGAGAAAAAGCCGAGAGGTGATGATATGAAGTTCTGGATGGATGAGGGACGAAGATGGGTGGATAGCGTGATGATTTTGTTGAGGGAATCAGGAATCTGAATTGATTTGGCACAAATGGCGTCGGTGGAATTGATGCGGATGAAGGAACATGTTAGAGATTGAATTTTGAGAAGAGGGAAAGAGATGATGGGGATGTGTAATTTTTTGAAGCACAGGGCGATTAAGAAAGAGATGTACCTTGACATTTCAAAGCTATTAAGAAATGCGGTGGATTTGGAATGAAGTGAGAATCCTTTCAATCGATGAGGGAAGATGATGAGCGAAGGTGGTGAGCCAAGTGAAAGCTGAAGCTTAAGTTGTAGATGTTCTTTATATCGTGCGGCTAAGATGCTTTTATGGTTGAGCGGGAAAATGCTTTTCTGGTAAAGTAGTGCAATTATGTAGAGTGATTAAATTAATGGGGGAAGAATGTTATTATAAAGAATGTCTTGTTATTAATTATGACAGCTTGTTTAATTTGGTTCAAAGGAAACTTACTTCATCTTCCTCCACATGTGTGGTTCCATTACATTATTTAGGACACGTACGTAAATAGATGCATGAATTGGATCCTTAAATTACGGCAAAGAAACCCTAGCGTACACCTCTTATAGTCTTATCTTCTACTACAGTAATACTTCTTTTTGTTATATAAAAATAATATTAATACTTGGTAATCATTGGTAAAGACATGTAGTAGTGGTTCAAATTAATAAAAAAAATACTTCATCCGGTTTTTATTAAACTTCACTCTTTGACTTCACACAAAATAAGGAAAGAAATTTGACTTTACTGTAGAGTACACTGTAGAGGCACTGTTTGACACTACGGAGTATTTGGCACTGTTGAGACACTGTTTGGCACTGTTGAGACACTGTTTGACACTGTTTGGCACTGTTTTGATGTAGATTTCTTTGCCAAAAAAGGAAATAGGGAAGTGTGACGTTTATTTTAGACCGTCCCAAAAAGGGAAGTGTGAAGTTTATTAAGAACCGGAGGAAGTATCAAAATTCATCATATTTTATCTTTTTTATTAACAGTGTGAACCTATTTTCTAAGTTCTGAATTGGTAAGCTAAGCTTTTCAAAAAATGGATTGGTCTAGGCCGATTGGTTGCACGGGTCAAACAAGCCAAGGCATTACTGGGGCATGATTGAACTCTCTGAAATGTATTGGCTCGAGTTTAAAGTCGTGCTCTCAAAAGATTAATATATTTAATACTATGGATATTTAGGATGCGTTTAAAAAAGATATGTCTATGAACTTTTTAGTACTCCCTCCGTTCCTAAATAAACTTCCAACTTTCCTTTTTCGTCCGTCCTAATTAAAACTTCCACTTTCTATTTTTGGCCAGAATGTGTGGTTCACAACAATTCTTACACATTTCTCTATTCTGTGCACAACTCTCCACCACACAATACTCACTATCTTAAATTGTGTGCCAAACCTATTTGGAAGTTTAATAAGGGACGGAGAGAGTAACTATTACTCCCTTCGTCTCATTTTACCTGTCTTACTTTTCTCTTTGGGTTGTCCCAAAATTAGTGTCACATTTTCTTTATTGGAAAGAAATATGAGGTCCACACTATTTCACTTTATTATACTCAAATCTGAACACAACTTTTACTTTTTCAACCACTTTATTAATAATTGTGCCAAGTCAAAGTAGGACACATAAAATGATATTTGGCTGAAGCTCTGCTCAAATCTGATCAGTAACAATTAAGTATTTTATAAGTTCAAGTTGAATAAATATTCCAATCTGAGTTAAAAATATACTCTCTCAGTCTCATTTTGTAAGATACATTTCTTATTCAGTCGGTCAATACAAATCACTCCTAACCTCTTATTTTATATATCAATTTTTTTATTATCAAATTTGATTCTGGTTTTTGCGACTGTGTAAAGCTTTTAATGTAGTTTCATTCTTTTTTTCTAAAAGTAACTTGAGTGCGAACAGGGATCGGTTTGCTTCATCGTCGGTCAAACATCAAAAAACGTAAAGTGTCTTACAATTCGGGACGGGGGTATTTTTATTTTCAAAACTATATATTAATACTATATTTATCATACAAATAAATAATACTATGTATATATATTATAAAATATACTCGTATAATATACTACATTATTATTAGAATTATAATACACAATATATTATGTCTGTTACTCCGTATAATATTATACAAAATATACTATATTCATCATTTTTTATTTAGCCATCTCTGACTTTTCCAGTCAAATATGGTAAACTTTGACCAGTTATTTTAGAATAGATTTCACTTTTGGTCTTACGAATTTTAGGTCAATTCCGCATATAGTCTATATCTTTTACTTTGTCCACTTTTGATACATGATTATTATATTTTCGCTCATATATGGTCCTTCTGACAATGTTTCCGATAGTTAAAATCGCCGAAAGAGGACCACAAACAGTTGAAAAACATTAGTCAAGTACTAAAAGCTGACAAAGTGAAAGATGTGGACTAAATGTGGAATTGACATAAAACTCGTAAGACCAAAAGTGGAATTAATTCAATTATTTTAATTACTATATTTATGTAAAAGTTAATAACCTTATACTTTTATGCTAATATTGTGATAAAGAACATATTTCATGACATTTTTATATTATCAATACTTATGTTCATAAATATATAATCAGTCATAGTTATACTCATTTGTGAGACCAGTTTAATCACAATTGGGACCCCCGCACAAATGTGTGTTTGTGTTATTTGACTTAGAACATACTCATGAAGCACTTTATTTCCACTCGAAAAGAAGCTTTATTATGTGAGATATTCTTAGGTAATACGCTTTGCAGGAGTAGATGCATTGTCTCCTGTCCACTATATATGAGTGTGTTATGTCACTCCTCTGTTGTGATTAATGATTATGATGATATGCACAAAGTGTTCCAACAGCTTCACCACGCAAAGTCCACTCCTGACTTCTCAAATGTCATAATTTCCCATCCACCCAACCGTTTTAATTTGACTGATGACTACGCCATTTTTCTTTCGCTTTTGGAATTATGTTTACAAAATATACTAGTATATGATGAATAAAAATACAATCAGAGTTTAAATTATCCCCCGAGTAGTATATTTAGGATCTTAAACTTATATAGAGTGACAAAGCAAGTGTCAATTTTGTAATAAATATTTTCCTAAATGGAATAGGAAACGTATATGTTACGGTGTTTACAATAATAATAATGATAGTAGTAATAGTTATAATAATAATAATAATAATAATAATTAAATAATAGTAATAATAATGTCTTATGCTATTTTATACCACCTATAAAATAACAAGTGGCAATTTTGTAATTATTTCTCGTGCATGATAGTTCACTAAAATGAGTTATGTTACCAAATGTCTTTTAAATATGTACATGAGAAAACAGAACAAGACAAAATAACATGGTTGTCGTTTTTGTAATTATTACTTTTTTTGCCAATTATATTTCAATTTACTTTTTTCACCCGTTCTAAAATAATTTTGGAATTATCCCTCTCTACACTTGTCTCAACCTCACAATTTCATTTTCTTAATCCACGTGCAATCTCTTATTTGAAAGATAATTTGGAGAAGGTAGTATTTGGGAAGGTTCACATAGAAGTAAAAAACCAATTTGATATTTCAAAAGAAAAAAAAATATTTAGAAGAAAATTATGGTATTCTTATTTGGAGAAGAAGGTAGTATTTGGGAAGCTTCCCATAGAAGTAAAAACAATCACATTTTTTGCTCTAAGTAAGAGTAAATTATTGTTATCATGAAATCACACGGTTATATTTGTCAATATCGGACATCAATATGATAATATTAATGTCAAAATTGATTATTTTTAAGAATATATCTAATTACTCTAATTTAGAAGAAAATTATACTCCGGTAGTATTCTTATTTAGAAATATCACATTCTTTTTGCTCGTATCAGTGCAATTTTTTTTACTGTTTTCCCGCCCATGTGGCCATGAGTAGTTAATTCAAATAGGTCAATTAGAAAAATTAATTTAAACATGAATGTTAGAAAGTCTTGCACATGGTAAATAAGAATTAATATTGTTAAAATATGTAATAATTTATATAAACTGGAGGCTATCCTAAGCATTTATTTAGGTAAAAACAATCTTTTATTTTTAAAATTTGCATCTTAAAATTACTAAATTTCTCTGTGCAATGCAAGAGCTCATCCTCTACTCTCTAGTATATATTTGCACAGGTAACCCTGTTCTTATAATTTATAAATCTATAAGATCATAGTGGGTATAACTTTGTATTTCAATGGTGTTCGAAAGGACCAATTCAAATACAGTTTTTTACGGTTTAGAAATCAATTTATAAAAGACGTGGGAAGGTCTAAAATAATTTCGGTGGATCAATAAATCAATTTGAAGACTGCTTCAGTTTTTTTTTTTTTATAGAAGACTGCTTCAGTTTTAATGGATTAGAAATAAGTCTTTTAATGGATTGGAAATAAGTCTAAGATAATATAGTATAAGATTGTCTTATTAAGCCTTCCTTAAAATATGAACATATTAATTGGTCCATAAAGAAAATCCCACATTTAATCCTTCAACAGAAACTTTTTTTTCCTTAATCAGCCAAGTTGTAACCAAATCCCCTCAGTAACTAGTTAAAATTAGGAATGGACTGGGCCCGAGTGGCCCGACCCAGGACCGGCCCCGCCCGGTCTTGTTTAGGTCCGGCCTAACCCGGTTTTCCGGGCCCGGTACCAGACCATTGGTTATAAGGGTCTGGCTTCAGGCTCAAATGTAAATGGGTGGTACTGACCTGGGCCCAATACTATTTGGGCCTAGACCACAACCGGTACCGGAGCACATTCAGGTGGTATTCTAGAAACAGTACCGCCCGGGTCCATCCCTAGTTGAAATCGTCTGATTCACTTCCTTCGACCCAATAGACTGCCGCTTATTCTGATCAGCCAGTGTTTGTAAATACGTAGTTAAGACAATCATCATCATTATCATTACCAGGGGCGGAGCCAAGGAGGGAGGCAGGGTGGTCAGCCGACCCCGCCGAAAGTTTGAGAGTATAAAGCTTTGAAATATCTTCGATTTGATATATTATGGCCCCTGTAACTCATTACGAGTAAAATGTTATGACTTCTGGAAAATCAGCATTATCTAAATGAAAAATCAGCAAAATTTGATGCATACTATAGATTATTTTCCCAAATTTTAAAAATAGGGTATAATTCACTCAATAATTATGTGACACGACTCAGAAACAGGGCAAAGACAATATATCTTATTGCTAGGAGTGCATATTTATCTAAACTGCATATGAAATATTCAACTCAATATTGTTTAAAAACGATGAACCATTTTCATTCGGTATATATTTTGATTTTCGACCCCCCTGAGCCATTTTTCTGGCTCCGCCACTGATCATTACCCCAGTGCCGCAAAGACAACCTACGGTGGGGTAAGGGAAATACGTGGTTAATACAATAAAAAGAAAATAAACATTAACTAATATGACATCACACAATCGAAATTAGTGGCACATCAATGCAATAGGAAATGTCGAATATATTATTTCAATTCCTCAATGTCATGTATCGTGACAAATGAATAGGTTTCATAGTTATTTTCATATTTACATGGCCACATAGGTAATGTATCATGTATGTGCAGCTGATGTTGTAAAGTGTAAAATGTTGTAGTCTAATGTTATATGATGAACATAGGAAATGGCCAAATTTAGCACAATTTCAAGAATGTAAAGTTAAATTTCCAATATTGTAACTTGGAAACATAATGGCCTGAGTTATGTACAATCTTTCTTTCTCCTTTCCTCAATGACAGTATTCAGTCAATATGTGAGTGTGAGTGTGTGTGTGTGGCGCATGACTGGGCACGAGCTTTTATTTATTCTGAAATCAGAAATATCCCAAATTCCCAGGTATACACCTAGAGCATATGAGGAGGAAGAACCTTACTCCAACTGTGACAAGAGCCCATTCCCCACCCCCACCACACCATGCAATTGCTATATGAACAAGGAAAAATGAACGCAATGAAAGTTCCATTAAAAACTGCTGAAAACTGTAAAAAATTAAGGCCAAGAAGTATATATCTAACAGGCGTAGGGCTAGGAAATGCTACAGATAAGAGCTGATATACCAAACATGTCTACTTATAAAACTGTAAAAGACAAAAAAACTGTATCTTAAACACCTCCCAATCTGAGAACTCAAATAGATCTTTACAGACACGTTGAAGTTCCGAAGGAGGTGAAATGGGGAACCATACGTACAAAAGGAGATGAAATCAACAGGCGCATCCTCCAGACTGCTGTTGAGACTGTGCCGAGTTTGAGTTGGTAGACTTAAGGTTAACGTCAACCATATCTTCTTGCTTAGCTGAGGATAATGTCTCCATTCCTGGCAATGCTGCAGCTATCTTTCTGAATAGTGGCTGCAATGAATGTATACCATTTTTTGCATCAGTTAATGTTAATTACCAAAAAATCCACGGTCAAGTCCAAACACCCATAAAAAATACAAACAAAATCATACTCAGTAAGCAGACATGTTTCTTTTTCATATTTGTGAGTGACATGATCGGGTTTCAGTTTTGAGTGGGTCTATTATTACTACTCACCTTTATATTGAAGCCCGCCTTTGCGCTGGTTTCAATAAACATGACATTTAATTCACGAGCTTTAGCTTCTCCTTCCTCTATAGAGACTTGCCTTTTTATATGCAAGAAAAGACACGAGACAGTCAGACAATGCAAAAAGATACAAAAAACACTAGACTTGACACAACAAAATATAAAAGATAAGGATCAATGGTTAGTAATTGAAACCCATATTCACAATTTGGAAGACAAATGTCACAGGCAAAACAAGTTGCAATGGAAATTGAGCTTGTACTAAAAAAAAATTGAAAATTTGCTGAGGTAACCATTAAGATTTTAGTGTTACTCCTCGGAAAGTACTCCCTAGTCCCTCCATCCCATTTTGGTTGTCCTGCTTTCCTTTTGGGTTGTCCCAAAATGAATGTCTTGTTTCCTTTTTTTGCATGATATGTGTGGTCTTATCATTTCACTTTATTCTACACAAATCTCAACCACAACTTTTACTTTTCAACCATTTCATTAATAATCGTGCCAAATTAAAACAGGACGACTAATATGGAGCGGAGGTAGTATCACAGAGTTACATTAGGAAACTTTCCAGGATATTGTAACGACCTTGGGTTAATATCAAGAAACATGCAATCTAGATGGTCATTTAGAGAAATATCAGAAACCTCAGTAAATTCCCATTTTTATTGAATTTGAATCCAACAACTCGTGCTCCATTTTTTTATCTGCATGTTCCATTAAACAAAATTTTCCATCATTTGCAATGGAGCCAAAGATTCATTATTTTTTGGCTTGAGAATATGATGGAATAAAGCAAAATGGCTAACTAAACTGTCTGCGCTTCTTTCTTATGAAGTAGCAGTCAGTCCATGCAATTTTGGACGCATTTTTCACTATGGGTCATCCGGAAACAGTCTCTCTGTGCTTTAGTACAGGGGTAAGACTGCGTACATCCGACCCCCCTTACCCCACCGTAGGTGGGAGCCTTTGCGGCACTGGGGTAAATGAAAATGATGAAATGATGATGATGTTCCATTAAACAAAAGTACAAAACATACTTCTGGGTCCCTGCTTCTTTGATCCACAGAAACAAATGGTTTCCTTTTTCAAAACAAACCTTTTGAAGACAATTTTAACATCAACCTCTCAATTGTAAAACCAGGAACATATTCGGGGAAAATTTACTGTATTCTTGAGTCAACAACAAAACTCCCTATCTATTTCTTGGTCAGGTTGATTCAGCTTTATGATATCCAGTCTTTCTGATCACTATCGCGTCTATATAGCATATTATCAATTTATCACTTGATGATAAAGAAAAACTTTGCAAAACAAATAATTGTTTGGGAGTACAATTTCCAATAGAACTCATTCTTTTAATACAGGTGATGATTAGCCCTAATACATAATTGGCTATTTGCTGTACAGGTGACGAGTTTCTTGCAGAGAAATTTCAATTGTTTGAACATCTACAACATGCCCAAAGCCATGAAAGAAAGGATAAACCAATAAATTCCTTATTTGACATGTATCCTAAAGAAATCAAAAGTATAGCCATTACGTACCTTTTCTCAACAAGGTCAGTTTTATTCCCAACAAGGACAATTATAACATCACTCCCACGCTCGGTCCTAACTTCTTCAATCCACTTTACAGTGTTAATGAATGTCTGCCGACCTGAACATACAGAAAGAGACCTGTAACTATTTGCAAAATAAAACTGCTGCAGGCTGATCTTTTCTTTTCTGAAACCTATTACTATCTAAAAGTAAAATATTTTTGGAGTGAGAGTTCCCGCCTAAAAGAGTCACATAAAAAAATGATTGTGCAAAGGTGCAAGTTAAGCTTGCGGAAAAATGGTTTGTGGAATATTAAAAAAATAAAACTTACTCTGAAGTCATGTGAGGTGATTTAAAATGGTTGGAATGTGGTCTCTAATCCGAGATATTAACCACACCAAAACTACATGGGCAATGAAAGGTAGAGCTATTAGGTTGTAATGTGACCCTGCTCATGATGTACCACGATATGAAAAATAGAAAGTGGTTATTAAATACTGATTTCTAGTTTTATATAAAATTGCATCAACCGTGTTCTACTAGTATACTTAAGAGCCCAATGCAAATCCTGAATAAGATATTCTAGTGTATGGTAGATGTGGTATTCGTGAATTGAAATTTTCTTGCAATTCTGAAGCAAAAGAAATTCTAGTGATTTGTAGACATGAAAAAAAGTATTCCTTGCTACTACATATTCCTTCTTTTGCCTCAATAGCTTGGGAAGAAACTTCCATTTCATCACCTTGGTATTTTTCTTTTCGGTGAGAAAAGCACTTTGACAAAAACTGTCTTCCACATACTAGTATTTAGCATAAATAGACATTTTTATTAATGTAAAGTTTTAAATCATACATAAGGAGGGTGTTGTGGTAGGTGTGTGACGGCCAACAGTATGACTTAGTCACATGACATGACATGAGGACTAGCACACTTTATTATGCTTACTATGTACTCCCTCCGTCCCATTTGACTTTGCCAACTTTCCCTTTTTGGTTGTCCCAAAAAACTTTGCCGCTTTCATATTAAAGCACATTTCTCTCTCCTCTGCACAAATCTCAACCACACAGTTTTTACTATTCTTATTCTCTACTTTGCACAAATCTCAACCACACAGTAATTATTATCGAGGGACAATTTCTTCATTACACATTTATACTTGTGACTGTTCCTTCAAATTTTTCCTTAAGTATTACTCTGTACTCCTAAAGTACCCATTCGTCAAAAAATGTCACTCTGTAATACACCCTCGTCCCTTAAAACTTTTAGATCTTTCCTTTTTGGGACGTCCCAAAAAACTTTGCCACTTTCTCTTTTAATCAATTATTTTGTGGTTTCTGTTATTTCTCTCTCCTCTACACAAACCCCAACCACACAGTTTTTACTTTATTATTCCCCGTGCCAGTCAACTTTGGCAAAGTTTTAAGGGACGGGGGTAGTATATGAATGCTGGTGTTAAACAAATCACCAACACAGTTACTGACGGTCTGACGCTCAACCAGACAGTTTCTTGTTAATAGTGTCACTAATAGGTCATGGCCAGTTGAATATTTGTCGGTAACTGTGTTGATAACACTTATGTCTTCAAATTAATAGTAAGCATTTTTCCCGGTAGGAATTCAATTGGTAATAATTAAGAAATATTTTGTTATTCCTTTATATCTCAAATCAAACAATCAATGGAACAAATAGCCATAGAAGGTTCATTTAAACCAGTCTAACGATGAAATTTAAACTTATTCCGGATATACTAATTATAATCCTTTCTGGTGAAACTCATTTCCCATTCGCAAAATAGTCATTTTCACCAACCAAACTAGTTGTAATTGTAGTAAGGAAATTCCAATTCACTATTTTCTTCTTAAAGAGAAGCAAACTTCTACTGTAATGCAAGGGAAACATATCACATTAGATCAAAACATACTTGCAACATCGTAAACAATCACAGCAACAGACGAGTCCCTGATATAGCTAGGTATGAGACTCCTAAATCTCTCTTGCCCTGCTGTATCCCTGTATATAGTCACAAAAGACTAAACTTTATAAAGAACATGAAACAAACTAATTATCAAATGAAAGATCCAGAATGGAAATTTCTAATTCTAGCAAAAAGTTTAAAGCACTTAAAAGACACCAATGATCCTAGAAAATCATAAGTTACTTGATTCCCACAAATGTCCTATGAAACTGCTGGAAGTAGAATCAGTAGATTGGTTTTTGAAGAGTGAATAGTCATGTAAGTGATGTAATTTTGAGATAGATAAAGTACGAATTTGCAGAGAGTATGAGCAATTGGTAATAATAAAAAATGCATCCCCACAATGGATAAAGAACCAACCACAAAACTAGCTGTGGGATCTAACTTGACATGCTCATACAATGTCTCTCAATCAACACTTTTTACAAAAAGATATACTACTTCCATCCCATAATGTAAGATGCATTTGGGTTTGGTGCGGGTTTAAAAAAATATATAGGATAAAGTGACCGTTTTACAAATCTAACCTCCAAAAAGTTAGATAACCAAAAAGGAAAGTGTATCATACAAATGGGACAGAGGGAGTACAAAACTTTAAAACTTCAATTTTTTGGGCACTGGGGTAATGATGATAATCATGATCAAAATTCAAAAAGTTTTCCTTAGCCAGGGTACATCTCACCCTCTCCAAACCATACATCTAAAAAAAATTGGTTTGGTTTGGTTTTTAGGAAAAAATTTAAAATAATGTACTTCGTATGTGGAATAGAAAATTTAAAATTCAAACAAGCAAATAAGAATATGGAACAACAAAATTGTCCACTCAAACAAATTGGAAAAACTGCTGTTAAGAACAGCTTGAAGTTGCACAATGCAATTGCACAATTTAATACTTGTATAAATTTTAAGTTATAAATAATTCAGCTCTTAATACATAATTTTATTAATTATATATATATACTCTGTATATTATATAAATATTAGAAGTTACTTATATTTAAATACACACACATACACATAAATATATATATTATCTTATGTGTGTATAAATATATATTATAATTGAGCTGAATGAGGCTTACGCAATACACAACACTAAAAAACTGCCTCAATATGCAATACGGAGTATGTAATTTCAAACATTGACTGTTATGATAGTATTACATGTCTATGCTATCCTGGGGGCAAAGGAAGTGGAAATAAAGCTGAATTAAAAAAATTGGCAGAAGACTGAGATACTTTGGAATGCAGGTTCAAATATTTATATTCAACTACTACCTCCGTCCCCCTAAGTTTGGGACAAGAGAAGGTGGCACGGTTATTAATAAAAGTGGGTTTATGTGATTGATTCGAATTGATAAAGTAAGAATAAAGTAGGAATGATTGAGAACCACACAAACTTTACCAAATAAGGTATGAGAAAATCTTAGTGGGACGGACCGAAATGGTAAAATGGGACAATCATAGCGGGACAATCTTAGTGGGACGGACCGAAATGGTAAAAAGTGACAGTTAAGAAGCAGGCACAGTATCCTAACATCAAGGACCTTCAACTTACGACTTACCAGAGCTGCAACCTCACTGTACGATCTTCAAGGTACATTGTCTTTGAAAGGAAATCAATACCAATAGTGGCCTGAAACAAGTTAAGGTGTATGCATTCGGGTCACCATAAGAAGCATTACATGTTACCACTTATCCTAGAAAATAGATATTTTAGACAATTTCAATAACAATACAACAATGATGATGACCCCCCCACCCACCCACAGATACAATTGTTATCTGTTTTGTTAAGACAGAATTACTAGCTCTCAGAAAAGCTCTTTTATAATTTATAAAGATACTTGCTTAAAGCTAGTACAGCACCCGTGGGTACTAAATAAGGCCGCAAGGAACAAAATATGCTGGTGTAAGAAAACAATGGCAGCATGACACGGTTAAATGACAGTGTCTTTCTGACAGGTTAGAACGAAAAAGGGCATTTTTAAGCTAAAAGATCCTAATCACCTAAAATACATCTGACGTTAATTTAATAATGAGCCGATCTAAATTCACCAAGTTCTAATAAATATAAAAATAGTTTCCAAAGAGCACTTGAAGAACATCAATGTCGGACTACATACTCAAAATAAAAGGAAGAAATAAGCGTGCCAGCCATGCCTCAAACAAAGAGATCGACAAAAATGTCGAGAGTAAAGGATATCCAGTACCTGATATGAGGTATCGAATTTATCGTACATGAAGCGAGTAATGATACTGGTTTTCCCCACAGATTGATCTCCTAAAAACACAAGCTTGTACTTGGCGAGAGCCGAAACCGGAGCCATTAATCTGATCTAGTGGATTAACTAAAAGATTATGAAATCCGAGGATCGGATCAGGATCTTTCCGGCCGATGGTTTAGTGAGTCGCCGGGAAATGATAGGAGACGCGGGGAAGAAAGCGGTGGGTGAGAGGAAGAACGTGCCTTCCTAGGTGTTTGTGCTTAAGGAGCGCGTCAAGCATTTCAGATTTGTGAGGAAAGGACATACTCAAATTTGTGTCGTCCTCATATAAATAGACTTCACATTGTCACATCTAACTTTACTACGAGTATTTTAAAGAATATATGTCACGAATTAACATAGAACACTCTTTTTGTAATAAAAAAATGAGGCTCTTAGAATCACGCACGGACAGTTAACTAGGAGGATGTAAATTAGATTTTTAGTAGGTAGACAGTGAGGCTTGAATCAGATAGAACTCCTTTTTGTTCACATGAGGTAGTCCGACTTTGCCAGATTAGTAGCTCAAACAACTAGCTAAGTTTCAAATGTCGTTTATGCACTACCAGATACAACAAGTTGTGCGTAATGGACTGATCCTATGTGATTTTCGATTCTCAACATAGCTTCTAGTTGAACCATGACTAATTGGTCAAACGTCACTAGATTCACATTGTCGCTTGAGTCGAGACGAAACATTGATTGCATGACCGTTAAACTATCCTCGAGAGCTAGAGTATCATCACTCTAGAATAGCCTCCGAAATTCATCCCTTTAGTGACTTGAACCTGAGACCTCCCTCTCGCACAAGAGATCTTAAAGACATCTCTCATGAAGGATCTAGATTCATTGTTTTAGAAGGTAAGTCTCTTTACCTTAAAGACATTGACTCTTTCATCCGTGGTGATTCCACACTCGTAGGACTTGGGGTTGGTTTCATTCCCAATCAAAATATTTTTTCTATCCATGCTTTTAAATGAACCCTCCATTAAGATATGAGCATTTCATGGAAGAGCTCAACTATGAGAAGATTTATTCTAATCATTATTGTATGTTGAAAATGTTAGGTACGGTGATTTCCCACCTTTTTTATATGTATCATGAAAATGTTTGTTGGCAAGAATCACTTTGTTGAAGCAATAAATGAGCAAGAATCACTTGAAATGTAAACTCCTTGTGACAATCAAGATGATAAGGATGTTATGGTTATCTCAAGAAGGATACATACACACACAAAATGTATCAACATGGACAAAGCCAATCGAGTCAATACTCTTCTCGCTATGCACTTTAAATTTTGAACAAATCCTTATTGTAATGAGGAGAGGAAAGATATGGAGATTGTTCCTTATGCCTCTAAGAATTTTGATGTATAAGGATAGCCCCGATGCACGAAAGCATCCCACAAGGCAAAGGTATAGGGAAGCGTGCCCCATCATAACTGTATATAAGGGGCAGCTGAGGTAAAGGTCTAGGGAAGTGTGTGCCATCACAACTGTGTCAAGGAAAGTGTGTCCTATCACAATCCTTTCAATTTTATTACAAGAGGCTGCTCCCAAGATTTGATTTCGTAACATCATGATCACATAGCAACACCTTAACATCATGAAGGAATTTGATATATGCAATGATTTTCTTACGCGCATATTATTGTATAGATGAAGAAATGGAAAGTAAGGGTAAAAGGTGAAACATAAGGAACAGTAAACATAAGAATGTTGTGAAGTGGATTTAGAGGTACTTTTTGTTGTTTTGAGGGGAAAATGCCCAAAATTTTGTGTGATGTGTAAATTATGCTCGTTATCTCTTCCTGTTTTAAAAAAATGCACAAGAATCCATCGTGTTCTAATCAATGAAGCACGAAATTCGAAAATGAAAAGCTAAATAAATTATAAATCTATCTTGCACTCACTTTTTGTGTGTTGTATGCAATCCAATTTTTGTTACTAGACCTTGGTAAATTTCAATTTGAGAATATGTTGCTTTGTATTCTAAATAGCCGGTACTATCAACAATGATTTCTACGATCTGAAACAACAAATTTATATTTATTTATTTATTGAGAAAAACAAATCAGTATTGCGTATTATTTGAAGTTTATGTTCTTATTTTTTAATTGATCAAAGCAAGTTATGACATTTTATAATGTTCTCTACGAGTCTTGATTAGGGATGGACATGGTCTGACCCGACTGAGAACCGGGTCCGGTGCAATTAAGACTCTTGAATCCTACTCTTGATGTTCTATGTGAGTGATTGTAGAATGGGTTTCAGCCTCGTACTAGCTCTTTTTCTGAACAGGTGGTTCATGTCCATCATATCCCAAAAAGGAGAAAGTACAACTGAAATCCATAAGTTTGAGGGTATAGCATAGCAAGGTTTTGAACTTTTGACTGGTTCAAGAGTTGGTCCTCGAAATTGCAGTTCATGATATCAATGAACCGAAACCAGCCGTGATATGACCAGTCATTTTACGGTTCAGTCAAAAGGACTAAACCAAACAACAACAAAGACCAAATCCATCTAGAACCACGCCCATGTCCATGGAATGATTGCGTGAAGATTGCTGCCTCTACTGGCCAAGCTAGCTTGACTGAATCATATGCCATTATGCCGAGTGGGTGTTGGATGGTATCAGGTATGGCTGAGCCAGGCCAGAAGTCTCATAACATTTTTATGCACTTCGGCCAATTTCAAGATATTAGGCAGTAATATGAAACTGTGAACCAAGTCCTGAGTGACAATCAAATTTAACCAAATCAGTACCTCAAATTTAACAAACCATTTAACTCTACCAAAAAGGACCTTAATGTACATTGACAAAGTTCTGTTTGCTCCCTCACCCTTCAAATTTCTACATTACTTAACGTACTGATAAACGTGTGTTTAACCATAACAAAACAATACATACAGATTCTGCATTAACAATAAGTCAGATCTTCCATATCTTGTGGACGCACTGTTGATAATGAACATATAAGCATTGTCACAGCAAACAATAAAAATAAAAACTGCTGCCATCTATGTGGGTTTATAATGGTGCAGCAAACAACTTTTTACATTAAGAAAAACTAAGCAAAAAATACCTACGCACCTAAAGTATGGATGAGCATGCTAACAGTGCAACAGGACGAGGACTCAAGCCACATAAAATATCTATGTAGGCCTATGGAATTAGAAATTTGTCTAGTTTGGATTTCTTGCTAGAACCTGGAGGCCGGAAGTTGTCAGGCAGCAGATTAGACCTTCTACACAAATCATTCAACAAAGAATCACCTTTCTCTGATTTAATCATCTCAAATGTGCTTCCAAGAACATCTGCTGCAAGCCCTGTCTCAATGAGTTGCCCTTCCTCCTCCCCACCTTCACGTAATAACCTCCCAATCTCCTCCAATGGTACAACATTTTCCCAAACCACTCTGGCGAAGATACGGCCAAGAAACTCTGCTGCTCTTGGAGCATCATTTACTGTATCCTCCAAGTTCAAAAGAACACATTCAAATCTGTCCAGGAGAATATACAAGGTTACATTCAGTAAAACAGTGAATCTGTCTGAATTGACTCTCTCCTCCAAAAAAAAAGCATGGAGATTCAACTTTAAATTATAATGATTCAACTTTAAGTTTTTGCGATTACAACTCTTGTAAATTGTCCATCCTACTATATTTATAAGTTCATTTGTTTGTTTACTTTGTTATAAGGAGAACTTCAGTATTTGCATGACATATTTTAACTCAATATTTGACTTCGCACCCCAGATCAAGTCATTTCTATTAGACTAACCTCGTGATTTACTTTTATGCATAACTATCTTTTTTTGTAACCCACAATTCCTGTATACTCTAGTGTAGCCTAACCACCATGCTAGGGTGGAGTCCGTTCATTTGCTCAAAGGGCAACCGTTGAGCTGACCCTCCTACTCTGTAAGAGAAGGCCAGCACTTAAAATAACCCAAATGACCTCAGCTAACGCCGGTGGGAGTTGAGCTTGAGATTGAGTGGCAAAATATTCAATAATTTGAGAGCACATAGTGATTCCAAGCGGACTACCCACTTTGGTTACGTACTTAGGTTAATACTTAACTCTGCACCTGGTGGATACAGAAGTAAAAAAGTATAGATTAAACATGACATGCGCACTAAAATGTGGGGGTAAATGTGGAGTGGATTGTGAAAGACATTAGAATATGCTTTAGAATATTCTTCTATCTTCAGAATATGCTTTAGTATCTTTAGAATATACTCTAGGATATTATTATTGTATAGAATCTTATAGGAATATTCTATCTTTGTAATTTATATATAGGGACTTAACCCTCCAATGAAATACACAGAAAATCATTCTCTTCTCATTACTATTCTATCCTTAATTACGATAACATGGATAAACCAAATTTCCCAAAAATTAGCATACTCAAACTTATTTAGAATGCATTTCCCTTTTTTAGAGCATAACAAGAAATTCAATGAAAATTGTTTCAATTGTAGAAACAGGACTATTTTGTATATAAATATGTTTTGAAACGTGACTTCTTCTTTTGAAGATAGGGAGTGCTTCTCATGAAAAACAGCAGCATACCCCTGAATCAGCTGATCTGAACTTAGGATAACATCCTGAGACTTCGTTAAATTAACAAGAAGTTTCTCTAGAAGGCCCCTTTCTGTGTCCTTCCTCTCAAATGAATCACTGATCCAAATAGATATCATTGATGGGTGGAAGCTAGGTGCATTCAGATCTTTCACACACAGAGCAATCTCCTTCTCATCTCTGGCACTGTCATCAGAAAATTGAAATGCACACAGCAAATTAGGTTACTTTGTACATCATTTTCACACACAAACACATACAGACATTTTATGCACTTGATGAATTTACATTGTCTTAACTAAGCATATGAAGCATGAACTGAACTTACTGAAGGGCTGAACCTATTGGACGTCTCAAATTGTGCATACATCTAGGACATTGTTGCACACATACAGTTTTACAGAAATTACTAAAATGTATTTTAATATTAAGGTCTTTCAGACTTTCAGTACATTAGTGAATATTAGGAGTCCCGTTAAGTAAATTCCTGTTTATGCTTTTACTACTGAACAATGAATGTTTTTCTCTGTGGGGTGGATTGATTGATAATGAAAACCAAATAGTGCAGGTCTTTCTGGTTTCTTGGCTAAAGTTGCCGAAATGCATGAAAAATACACTTGCACACTTATTTTTTAATACTATTTTCAAAAATATAGTAATAAAATATATTTATATTTTTTTTGCCTGACATTTCGAGCATTTTAGCAATT